GTTCACATGTAGCCTGATTAGCGCATTGAGATAATTGCGACCAGTGGGCGCGCGAGCAAGCACGTACATCTGCGTCCTCTCCAGGAGTAAAGGTCACCTCGCGTGGACAATTATCGCCTGTATGCGGTCAGAGCTAACAAACAAAGACATTTGGCTAGGCTCGACGCCTGAGGAAAGCCTCCAAATGTTGCTGGCATTTGGTCCGGCTAATATCCTAAGAGCAGGGACCATGATTTGCTGAAACGTGGCGTTGCATACGCACACAATCCTTAAGTCTTAGAATGGTGAGGGAACAGCCCTGCATTTACCCCAGGTCTGCAATCTTCAGAAACGGGATAGCCATTCAGACTGAGAGGTACTACCCATACTCAACAGCCTCTTCACACACCGCACACACTGGGTTGATGGTGTGTCCGATAAATGCATCATTTGGCAACACTTTCAGCGGCGGATCGGTATCGGTCCACACACCTAAACAGTGGATGTGGTGATCACGCACAAGTTGCGCCCAGACAAAGCAGTCTACCCCCGCTAGTTGGATGATTCAGAAAGCCAATCAAATCGCTTCTCGCTGTGAGGCACTATCTGATTGGTCCGATTGGACAAGCCTGTACACGCTACCGCTCGCCGCTAATAGACTTCCACTCCTGTGCCATTCTTGTTGTGTTCTTCCTTGGGGATTTAAATGACGCGTGAGAAGACGGTGATATCTCAGCTTTGGTATCATTACAACAACCTTGAATTCAAACGTAATGGCCGGTAGAGTTAATAATTATTTAGCAATTTAACTTTTTTCTAAACTGAAAGATATCCTTTCTTCAAGTATTACCTTTGAAGAGTGCGTAATTTGCTACCAAAAAAGTAAAAGAAGGAATATTTTGCGCACACTTTCTATAAAGTAAAGTTGAACTTATAAGAGCAGTCAAAATTGATGAGGAAAGTGCACACTACTTAAGCAGTCGTTTTGTTACCGAGTTTAATTTTTACAGGGGGTCAGAAGGATGCTCGCTCAAAAGCCGGCATTCTGGTGTGAATAAAATATCTCGAGATCACTTTTAAAACCCTACTTAAGTCATTTATTCCAATCGAAAACACATCGCAGTATTTTGACTGACGTTTATAAGATAGGAAATTTACTGTACAGTTTAAAAACACACAAAGAGAAACACAGAGTTCTATGGGTGAATTATAACGAGGTAAGGATTTACAAACCTCTAAAGTTGCAAGCGTGGACTGTGCCTTCTCCAACTCCTGCAGATTTGCTTGCAGTCGACTTTCGGCACGCACCTGTTCGTCGTTGGCGTTGGCCAGGCTCTGCAGCAGTCGCTTAACATCGCAGTCCAGCGCCCGTCGAAGTTTCGCAAATGGCAGTTTGCTCATCTCGGCGAGGCCTGCTGCGCAAAGGGCGTATTCTCTGCCCATCTCTG